TCCCCTGCCCCCTGCCTCCCCTCGCCTCTGCCTTCCCTGCCCCTGCCCATCCCCCTCTGCCCCTTCCCTGCCCCTGCCTCCTCCTCCTGCCTTCCACCTCCCACCTCTGTATTCCTCTCCCCCAGCCCCAAGCCCCAACATGGTGGTGCCACCCCCCCGACCCCCACCCAGCCAGGACCCTGTGGCTCCTTGCTGTCACCGCAGGGGGCACAGAGGCCACAGAGGGGCCACACCACCAGCTCCCACCTGTCCCAGCGTCCGTCCCCCCCCCATGCTTGTGCTTGAGGGGTGCAGGAGATAGAAATAGACTCATCCAGCCCGTCCTCCCACCAGCTGTCAGGGCTGATTCTCCAGCAGGGTGACAACTTAGAAAGGGAAGGGGCTTCCTGGACCCCAGGCCCGGCGTGTGGGGCAGTCACTCAGTCCTGGGGCCCAGCAGGGCTGCACCCCTTCCCGCTGTGCTGCCAACGCCGCTCTCTGGGTCTCTGTGGAGCACCCAGCCCACGGGACCCAGGGGGGCTCTGCCCAGGCCGCCCCCGCCACCCTGCAGAGCCGGTGGGCAGCTTCCCTCCCCTCCCCCATTCCTCCCCTCCCTGGAGCGCAGGGCGGGCAGCCACCGGCCGCACCACATGGCCACCGGCGACCACGGGGACTCTCTGCCTATTGGGGCCAGCCCTGCCCCAGAGGCTGCCCTGCTGAGGAATGTTTCTGGAATCCCTGCTCACCCCGCCCCTGTGTGTTCAGCCCAGGCCCCTCCCTGCTCCGTCCACTGTGCCTGACCCCCCCCCCCCGTGGTGGGGACCTGAGCCGCCGGGTCCTTCTCCATGTCACTGGGATGAGCTCTGGGTCTATAGAGTGGGGGTCGCTGTAGCCTCCATAACGCTGGAATTAGCACCTGTTTAGACACGCGTGTGCGTGTGTTCTGTGTGGCCGCACCGAGGGCCCGCGGCATGCCCCTGTCCTTGCTCCTGGGGGAGGCCGGGTCGTGTGCTTTGGTGCCGACACCGTCACTGGGCCTCGGGCACCCGAGCAGGGCAGCCTGGGTCAGGGTGCAGAGGAGGGCTCCGCAGGGAAACCGAGGGGGGCACGGGGCGTGCCCTGCTGGCCAGGGGGCTCGGGACAGGGTCACGTGGCCCCTGCGCAGGGCCCTCCGCCTGCACCAGAGCGTGCCCCTCCCCCACCACACTCGTGTCTGGGATGTTTTAGGGCCTCGGGGTCTTGTGGGCTCCTGCGTCCGGCCAGCCCAGGACAGGGCTCCAGCGAGAGCCGGGTTCCTTCTCCCTTCCCGTCCTCAGCCATAGGCCTGGGCAGGGGGCGCCTGGCAGTCACTCCCCCACCCCCACAAGGACCTGAGGCCTGCTCTTTGCTGGGGCCCCTGGAATGGGCCCTTGTGTGCCTAGTGGCAGCAGGCTGGGGCACAGGGTGACACATCTGCTTTGCCCAAAGGGCCTGGAGGGGAGTCCTGCCTGTGTCCTGTGTCATGGGTGGCCAGGACCCCGGCCAGCCTCGCCCTGCCCCAGGTCTCTGTCTGCGCCCGGGGGCGTCCCCCAGGCTGGCCGGCACCCGAGCTGTGCCACATCCCGCCCGCCACCCTCACTCTGCCCCGGGGAGCCTGAGGCTGCCCTCCTGGCTCCCCAAAGCCGTCCCAGCCCCTCTCCCTCACGCCCGCCCCTCCCCACAGGTGAGCACCTGCGGATCTGCCCCCAGGGCTACACCTGCTGCACCAGCGAGATGGAGGAGAACCTGGCCAACCGCAGCCGCGCCGAGCTGGAGACGGCGCTCCGCGACAGCAGCCGCGCCTTGCAGACCATGCTGGCCACGCAGCTGCGCGGCTTCGACGGTGAGTGCCCGGCTTGGACGCTGGCACGCGGGGAGGTGGGCATGGGGGCTTCGCTGGGGAGGGGAGGGGAGCTTGGCGGGAGAAGGGCGGGTGGAGGCCTGAGACCCAAGAGCAGCCCCCTGCACCTGGGCCTCTGCACCCCGCCGGGAGGGTGGGGGGTCTCGGCAAGCCCCCTGCACCTGGGCCTCGGCACCCCGCCGGGAGGGTGGGGGGTCTCCGCAAGCCACTGGCCCACCTGGCCTCTGCACCCCGCCGGGAGGGTGGGGGGTCTCGGCAAGCCCCCTGCACCTGGGCCTCTGCACCCCGCCGGGAGGGTGGGGGGTCTCGGCACGCCCCCGGCCCACCTGGCCTCGGCACCCCACCAGGAGTGTGGGGGTCTCGGCACGCCCCCTGCCCACCTGGCCTCTGGCGGGCTGTGATGGCCGCAGGAGTGTGTTCTCAGAGCAGAGGGTCTCCCCGGAGAGCCCCCCGCCTCCCTGGGGTGGTTGCCACGGCGCTCAGGCCGCCAAGGGGGGAGCGGGGGGCCCAGGCCTCACCCCTCCCCTGTGCACAGACCACTTCCAGCGCCTGCTGAACGACTCGGAGCGCGCCCTGCAGGACGCCTTCCCCGGCGCCTTTGGCGAGCTGTACACGCAGAACGCCAGGGCCTTCCGGGACCTGTACGCCGAGCTGCGCCTCTACTACCGCGGCGCCAACCTGCACCTGGAGGAGACGCTGGCGGAGTTCTGGGCCCGCCTGCTGGAGCGCCTCTTCAGGCAGCTGCACCCCCAGCTGCTGCTGCCCGAGGACTACCTGGACTGCCTGGGCAAGCAGGCCGAGGCGCTGCGGCCCTTCGGGGAGGCCCCGCGGGAGCTGCGCCTGCGAGCCACCCGCGCCTTCGTGGCCGCGCGCTCCTTCGTGCAGGGCCTGGGCGTGGCCGGCGACGTGGTCCGGAAGGTGGCCCAGGTGTGCGCAGCCGCCCGGCCCGCAGACGGTTGACTGACGTTCTGCCCAGATGCTCCCCGTCTCCCCGGGCTCGCCCCTGGGCCCCGAGCGTCATGCCAACTGCCCGGTCCTCCGCCCCGCAGTGGCCGGGCTCCTGCTGCCGCTGCTGCCCGGGGCCTGCCGACCGCACTGCGTCCTGCGTGGGGTGGGGGTGGGGGGTGCGGGCCAGCAGGCCTGGGGCCGGGTGTGGATCCCGGCCGCGGGGTCAGGACGAACGGGAGATGAGAGGGGCGGGCTCTGGTGGGTTGGGGCTCCTGCAGCCATGCCGGGGCAGGGGCAGCAGTGCCAGGCCCACCTGGGGGTGGGCGCAGGGAAGGCATCCGCCTCGGCCCCTCAGAGCCCTGGTCTCTAGCCAAGGTCCCCGGCAAGTGACCCCCCCCCCGCCTGACTCCCAAGCCTCAGTTTCCTCGTCTCTGTGGCCAGTGGGGGTGTGCATGCTTTCCTGTGAGCGTTGGTGACCTCAGGGAGCCCTGGCCCTGGGACCGTCCTGCCCTAGGGGTCAAGGCGGAGCTGAACCCTCCTCTGACCCCCACCCAGACCCCCCCCCAGGCTGGTCAAGGGTCCAGGCGCACCCGGCTCAGGCTGCCTCTGCTGCACAGGTGCCGCTGGGCGCGGAGTGCTCGCGGGCCGTCATGAAGCTGGTGTACTGCGCCCACTGCCTGGGTGTGCCTGGCGCCCGGCCCTGCCCCGACTACTGCCGCAATGTGCTCAAGGGCTGCCTCGCCAACCAGGCCGACCTGGACGCCGAGTGGAGGAACCTCCTGGGTGAGCCCCACCCGTCAGCGCGGCCCAGGACCGTCCTCAGGAGCACCCAGCTGGCGTCCCGGGGGAGGGGTCCCTGGCCCAGGGCTTGGATCCAGGGGTCTGGAGGGGCCTGGTCCGGTGCCTGGTTCGAGGCCAGGTCTGGGTGGAGCCATGGGGCTGCGGGGCAAGGATGCCTTTGGAATGTCCCCAGTGGTCCGTGACGTGGGACGGCCACCAGGGAGGGAGCTCTGTCAGGTCACAGTTCCTTGTCCTTCCCCACTGCACGAGTGCCCCAACATGCACACATACCCACACGTGTGACATGCATGAGCCAACACATATGTGCTGACACATGGTAGGCTAGCACATGCATAAGCTGGCATGTATGTGTGCTGATACAGGGCCAGTGCATGCCACCATAGTGTGCTTATGTGTACATGTGCTGACATGAGGTGGGCCAGCATGCATGTGTGCTAACACATGTGCTAACATGCATGTCTGCTGGCATGAGATGAGCCAACATGCATAAACATCGACACATGTCAGCTTATGAGCACATGGGCCTACACGAGGTGGGTCAGCTCACACACCACCGAGTGACAGCATGTGCGCGTGCTGACACATGGGCCAACACGTGTGCTAGTGTGCGTGTGATGACATGGTGTGGGCCAAAATGGAAACTTAGCAACGTGTGTAAGTTGTGCATGTGCTGACTGTACATACATGCAGACACACACAAGCTCATGTAACCTGGGGTGGCGGGGGCAAGCCAACATGCACGTGATGTGTGCGCATCAGCTCACGTGGGCAGCGTGTACGCACGAGGAACCAGCGTACACACACGGCAACACCCGTGTGAGCCAACTTGCCCAAAACGGAGATAAGGTGGCCGATGGGCATGCCCCATGTCCCCCACGCATGTCCATGTTAACCCCTGCCCATGGGCACACATGTGCTTACTGACAAGAGTGTGTGACCACATATGGGACAATAAGCTGGGCCAAACAAAGCGTGTGCCGACGGAGCCTCCTGTGCTGCCTGTGCCTTTTCCCATGCTGCGGAGGCTGTTTGAACATGTGTGCATGCTCACGTGTGCTCTGAACCTGCGTGGATACTGACGTGTGTTTGAACATGTGTGCATGCTGTTATGTGTTTGAACCTGCGTGCATGCTGACGTGTGTTTGAACATGCATGCTGATGTGTGTTTGAACATGCATGCATGCTGTCATGTGTTTGAACATGCATGCTGACGTGTGTTTGAACATGCATGCATGCTGTCATGTGTTTGAACATGCATGCTGACTGACGTGTGTTTGAACATGTGTGCATGCTGGGATGTGCTCTGAACCTGCGTGCGTGCTGACGTGTGTTTGAACATGTGTGCATGCTGGGATGTGCTCTGAACCTGCGTGCGTGCTGACGTGTGTTTGAACATGCGTGTATGCTGACGTGTGCACGCATGTGCTTACACCCGTGCCAGACTCCATGGTGCTCATCACTGACAAGTTCTGGGGCCCGTCGGGCGTGGAGAGGGTCGTCGGCAGTGTGCACGTGTGGCTGGCGGAGGCTGTCAACACCCTCCAGGACAACAGGGACGCGCTCACGGCCAAGGTGCGGGCAGGAGGGCGTGCTGCGCAGGGGCGTCCCCAGGTGTGGCCCTGTGGGGCCCTGTGGGGCCCTGCTGCCCCTCCAGGACGCTGCGGTGTCTCCCCAGGTCATCCAGGGCTGTGGGAGCCCCAAGGTCAACCCCCAGGGTGCCGGGCCGGAAGAGCGGCAGCGCCGGGGCAAGGCGGTGCTGCCTGAGCAGCCCCCCGCGGGCGGCGCGCTGGAGAAGCTGGTGAGTGGCCCCCGGGCCGGCCCCTGCTGCGGACACAACCCAGGGGCGAGGGGGGCGGGCTGGCCCTGGCAGCCCCGTGGCCTGACTGCTGCCCGGCAGGTCTCCGAGGCCAAGGCCCAGCTCCGCGACGTCCAGGACTTCTGGATCAGCCTCCCGGGGACGCTGTGCAGCGAGAAGATGGCCCTGAGCACCGCCAGCGACGATCGCTGCTGGAACGGGGTGGCCAAGGGCCGGTAGGTGCCGCCGAGGGGCCACAGACCCCTCCCGTGGTGCCCTGTGCACAGGGCCACGCCCTGCACGTGGCACGCAGCAGGACGCAGGAAACAGGGTGGGAGGCCGTACTCCCACCTGTGCCAGCCACCTGAGGCACGCACCTTGCTAGAGAGGTCGAGGCCTCACCCCGTGGGGCCAGCACAGGCCCACTGGCGTCTCGGGCTGGGAGACTCGGAATTGGGGGGTCAAGGGGGCCCTGCTAGGACGGTGCCCCTTCTTTGAGGGGCTGGCACAGTGACCGGGGGCTCTGCTGCCCCAGGTACCTCCCCGAGGTGATGGGCGACGGCTTGGCCAACCAGATCAACAACCCCGAGGTGGAGGTGGACATCACCAAGCCGGACATGACCATCCGGCAGCAGATCATGCAGCTGAAGATCATGACCAACCGGCTGCGCAGCGCCTACAACGGCAATGACGTGGACTTCCAGGACGCCAGTGAGGGCGGGACCGGCCCTGCGGGGGCCGAGAGGGCAGGCGGCCATCGTGGGGGTGTGAGCGAGCCCCGCCCGGGAGAGGGAGGGGGTGCCGGGGCGCCCTCCGGGGTCCCCACCCGGGCCCTCAGCCCATGCCACGGTGGCTGTGAGGCCACTGCCACCGCCCGGCACGAACACGGATCCCCCCGTGTCCCTGGGGCCCAGCTGAAGCCTGGCCGGGACGCGGCTCGAGTGGGGACAACCAGAAGCGGACCCCGGGCGGAGAGTGTCCAGGCCTCCCTTGGGGTCTGGCTGCGGTGGTCCGGGCGCCGCTGGCCCTGGGCTTCCACGGCTCAAGGACGTTGGGGTCCCCCCGGCACGTGGTGTCCCCACAGAGGGACGCCGCCCTCGGTCCCCCGTGGGGACAGCCCGCCAGAGCCGCCTCTCCCTCCCAGGTGACGACGGCAGCGGCTCCGGCAGTGGCGACGGCTGCCTGGACGACACCTGCAGCCGGAAGGCCGGCAAGAAGAGCTCCAGCGCCCGGACGCCCTTGACGCACGCCCTCCCCGGCCTGTCGGAGCGGGAGGGACAGAAGACCTCGGCCGCCGGCTGCCCCCAGCCCCTTGCCTTCCTCCTTCTCCTCCTCCTCAGCCTGGCCCTCGCAGTAGCCGGGCCCCGGTGGCGGTAACTGCCCCACGGCCCCAGGGGACTGAGGCCAAGGACTGACTTTGCCAAAATGCAAAACGGACGATATTTAATTCCCCCGGCGGAGAGCCCTGTGCAGGGGGCAGGGCAGGCGGGCAGGGTGGGGCGGGGCGCACTGGCCCCATCCCGGCCCCACCTGCCCCCCAGCTTTGATTTTGTATGAGGCCTTCAGGTCAGCTGGGGGCCAGTGTCCCCAAAAGCCATGTATTTCAGGGACCTCAGGGGCACCTCCAGCTCCCCACCCCCTCCCCCTGCTCCCCGCACCCCTGCAGAAGCGGCCCCCGCCTGGAGCCTGCGGAGGAGGCGCCATGGGCAACACCCCGCTGGAGACCTCGGGCGAGCCTGTGCCTTCCTCTCCTGCCTCCTCCGCTGGGGACGCCCCACCAGACCCCCTCCCCGGCCCAGGCCTCAGGCGAGGCTCCCCCAGCCCCCTCCGAGGAGCCTGCAAGGCCACCGGGTGTCCACCACGCCGGGCCGGCGCAGCCTTTGAGAGCATGCATGACACCTTCCTCCAACGCAGCAAGGGCTGCGGTGCCAGGCCCCGCCCCCCCTGTGCCGCCGAGGGGGCCCCCGGCCCGCGTGACAGCCGGTCTGCAAGGCTGGTCCCCCGAAGGCTCTGCTGGCTGCTGCATCTGTCCCGACCGTGTCCTCGCAGAAGACCCACTCTGAGTGGCCCCTTGATATCCGGACCAGGCGGCACCGACGCCCTCTGCCCTGCTTTTGTTTGGGGATGGGGGCTGTGCCCGTCCCCCAGGCAAACAGCGTGGCCCTTGCAGCCGTGGGCCGTCCCCTGGCACCCAGGGGCCCTCACTGGGGGGTGGGGCGGGGGGGTCTAGGCCTGTGCAAGGGCTCTGCCCACACCCCACCCAGACCAGCTTGGGGGGACACAGGCCAGGGCTCAGCGTGACACCCGGCCCCAGTGATGCTCGGTGGCCGGTGAGACCTAGCAGTGCGGACAGAGGGGCACCTTCCTGACCCCGGCAGGCTGACAGTTAAGGGCTTTTCCAGACGTGCACACGTTTAGAGACACTTCCCGTTCTTGTTCCCCAAGAGCCGCCACCTCGGCTCCTCCCAGGTAGCTTTGGGGGGACCCAGGGCCCCCCTTGGTGTCCCGTGGCCCTAGGGTGTGGGCGCTTCCCACGCAGGAAGCCTGTCAGGACCCCTCCCCAGGCCTGGGGTGGGCGGTGGCTTCCTGCCAGAGAGGGGCCCCAGGTGCAAGGGGAAGGAGGGCCTGGGGGCCACCGGCTGCCACGACCCACGTGGGCCCCGAGAGGGCCGCTTAGCGCTGCTTTGCTCCTGTCCCTGAGACCGGGAAGCCACGGCCACCACAGTGGACCGAGGTCTCTGGCCGCTGGCCAGGCCCCCTGGCACGGGCACCTGTTCACTCTGGAGTCATACTGAGCCGTGCTGGGCCCGGCCCCCAGGCAGCCCCTCCCCGCCAGTGTCGGGGGACGGGGTGGGGGGGGCGTCTCGGGCACCTCCACCCCACACGCGTCTCTGGAAGGGGCAGCCCCGAGCGGTCGCTGGTCAGGGCGGCGGCCACGCCTGCCGCGTCCTCCACAAGGCGCCCTGCTGCTCAGGGTCCGCGGGTGACGTGTGTTCTTTGAGTCCTTGTACCAATAAAAGGCTGGAGACCTGCGGCAGCCTGAGGCCTCAATCCGCCTCTGGCTCAGCCCCAGGGGCAGCGCGTGTTCCCCGGGGGGCCGTCGCTGTGGGGTGGTGACCTACGGCGCCTTGGGTGGGAGGGAGGGGCTTGGACACCTGGCGGTGTGGCCCCAGCACTGCCTCGGGGTCTGCACGGGAGCTTGCCATGCCGGGCCATGGCCCACCTGCGTCTCCGCGGCCTGGCTGGGCAGGTCGGGGCCTGTCCCGGACCGAGCACCGAGCTTGGTGCAGGGGAGGAGGAGGGGGCCGGGGCGCAGAGACCCCAGGCAGCCTTGGGCAGGTCCCACCTGCCTCTCCACCTGCCTCCTCTCTGGGCACACAGGACAGCAGATCCTCCCACCCCCGGGAAGGTTCCGGCTGCTGCCTGGCGGCCTCAGACGGCCAGGAGGCCGGAGTGAGGGCACCTGTGTTGTCCCAAGGCCGGGCCTGGCAGGATGTCCTGGTGGCCCAGCCAGCTTGTGTCCCCCGGGGAGGGTCTCCTGGAGACTGTGCCCTGCAGCCCTGTGCCTGCAGGGTCTCGGCACGGGGCTGCCCAGAGGCCGGGCGGCCAGCACGGCGGCGCAGACAGAAGCAGCCACTGGCTGGGTGTGCCCGCAGGGCTGTTTATTGGGAGCTGCAGTCTGCACCGGTTGGCCTGGCAACCCTGACAGTGTGTCTGTCGCGGGGACCTCCCGCCCCACGTGAGTGAGAGGCGGGACCCTCGCCCCCGCCCGGGCACAGAGGCGAGTGTGGCGCCCGCAGGGGAGACAGCTCTTGCTGGGTCGCAGCTCCTGGAGGGGCCGGGGGCTCCGGCAGGCCTCCCGGGGACACTGCAGCGGCCAGGCCCGCGGTGGCAACCCTCCTCCCTGCCTGCCCGGCCACCAGCCCCGGAGAAGCCCCAGCTCCTCTCCTTGGGCAGGCTGGGGTGTGGGGGCACAGTCTCGGGGGCTCCGGGGGGCCCCGAGGGGCAGGTGGGCGGCGGACGCTCACTGGTGGATGGTGGAGTAGACCCGCTTGGTCCGGTCCCGCAGGGTCACTTGCTTGGGGAGCACCACCTTGTGCAGCTGTTTCACGTGCTTCTGAGAGTCCCTACGCGTCTTTCCTGTCCGGAAAGGGGGCGCACAGGTGAGGTGGGCCGCTCAGCGAGGGACGCCTGCGACATGCCTCCTCCGGTCCCACAGCCCTGGCTGCCCCGGGGGCCGCACCTGGGACACCCCTGAGCTCCCAGGCCCTGCCCCGAGAGGCTGGTCAGGGAGAGGCCCCTTCCTGCCATCGTCGGTTCTCGGTCCTCTGCCCCTCGCAGGAGTCCGTTCCGCACATACACGCGCTCATCCAGCACGCAGGCACATGTGCACTCGCCCCAGCACATACGTGTGCACACACAGACACTCAGACACGCCTGTGGGTGCACGCAAACGCACTGCTCCCCTCCTGGGGACCCTGGGTGTTCCTTTCCTGGGGACGAGGCCCTCTGCCGGGAAACACCTCCTGTAACGCAGGCGCCCCACACGTTCAGGGTGGAGGACTGATCGTCACCTCTCAGCCCTCCTCCTCGGTCACTGCGGAGACTGTGGAGGGGTCGCGACTGGGCGTCTCCCTGCTGGGAGCGGAAGACAGGTGGCAAGGCACGCGTCAGAGGCCGTCAGAGAAGGGGCAGAGTCGAGGGGAGGTGGCCGGGGGGGCGCAGGTGGGGGACCGAGAGCCCCCAGCAACGAGGCTACTGCAGCTTGACCGAGGGTGGCCGGGGACTCGGGCCCCACCGAGACCGCAAGGCCACGGGACGGGACGAGGAGCGGGGATGGTCACGGCCCAGCACTCTCAGGGCCCCTCCGCTCGGGGACCTCCCTCCCCAGACAGGGAGACGGGGCTACCCCACAAAGTGAAACTCCGGTGGATCTAAACATTTTCCTTCTTCAAACCCGTTTCATACTCCGTCCGGGAGAGCACAGAAGGGACCCGCTGAACCGGAAACTGACGGGAGATCCCAAAATAGGCAGCGCCGACCTGGAATCAGACCGACTGCCCCGAGGTGAGAATCGCAGGAAACAGGAGGAAACACCTAGTTGGGAAAGGTTGCAGCAACGCAGGTGACTCCGCTAAAATAACCCCCTTTTCCTCCCAAACGTGGCGAGACAAACACCGGGCGAGATCAGCCGCGCGGTTTCCGAGGTCACGGGAAAACTAAACCCATGTGCTGGGAAGCAAAAGAACAGGCGAGGCCGTGGTGAATGGCGGGGAGTGGCGTGCTAGGTGCGGAGATGCGGCCCCCGCCCCCAGCGGGGGCTCAGGTGTGACAGGTGCACACAGATGGGACGTGGGGGCTGGGACGGAGGCCCCAGGTGACCCAGAAGCCTCAAAGAAGCGAAAACGTTCTCCCTACCACCAGGGGAGTCCACACAAGCTTACATAGCCCATGGACCTGGGCAGGAAAAAAGATGCCCCTCGTGAAGAACCAGTGGCTGGTGGCAGAGGACAGTGGGAAGGGACAAAGCACCTGCCAGGCTCACCCTCGCAGAGGCCCTGCGAGACTCCCTCCGAGAAAGGGAAACCATGTGCCCCAGTAATGCCATCTCACGGTCTTTAAAACATTACAGAATGTCAAAAAATATTCACCACTGGAGCCAGCACCCTGAGAACCTTAGATAATAATAGGGCAGACTGAAACGGCCTATAAAAGAAGTGTTTTGTGTTAGCAACGAAAAAAAAAAAAAAGGAGAAATAGAAACCATAAGGGAACAGCAAGTCTCCTTTTTAAAAGAAACAAAAGAGAAAATGAGGAGATTGGAAAAAGCACCCAGTGGCGGCGATGTCAGAATAGGGGGTCCTCTGACTGCACCCCCACCCCGTAGCGACGAGAACTTGGCAGCCACCCACAGACAAAAGTGCCCTTGTGGCAGCCTTAGGACTCAGGTCAGAGGTTGCAAAACACAAGACTGGGGAGGGCTGTTTGGAGAGGGCAGGCTCGCTCTCACCCGGGTGGCCAGCTCGCCCCCCGTGGGCCTGGCGACAGACCCACCAATGGCCTCATCCCCCTCTGGACTCAGCTGGAGCCCTGTTTGGCCCTGGTCCCGCCACCAGAACCATCTTCCCAGGGACTTCCGGAAGGCACACCAGCCCACGCCCCCACAGGCAGGTCTGCCAACCTTGTTCCCAATGCAGAACCTGAAATCGTCCTGTAGGTCAGCTCCAGCCCCTCATTCACAGTCTGAAGGCTGTCTGGCCTTCCCAGGGACCTGCTGGAGACACCCTTGTCTGTGAGCCCAGAGACAGGCCCACCTGCCCCAATCCCACGCAGATCCTGAAGCGGCCCTGAGTCGATTCCATCCCTTCCCAGCCATGCTCCAGGACCAGTCCCGCCCGCTCAGGGGCCACTAGGAGACAAGCCCATCTGTGCCCCAGGAAGCAGGCCTGCTAACCTCAGTTCAGCTGCAGATCTTGAAGGATCCCTGGGATCCAGTTACAGCCTGCCCACCCAGGAACCTGACAGTAGCACGCCCATCTGTGTTCCCAGGCAGGCCTGCAGAACCCAATCTCAGCTATGAACCCTAAAGCAACCCTGTGACTCGGTTCCATTCCCTCTCAGCCACAATCTGGGGCAAGTCCTGCCTGCTCAGGGACTCACCCAGCAACATTGATTGTAATGTTGTCCCAGAGCCAGCTCTGTTCCCCACAGTGTAGAGACTGTCCAGTCCACCCAGGGACCAGAAAGATTCCTCCTGCTCAAGCCCCTGATAATGGGCCTGCCAACAGTGAGCCCCACTATGGACCTAGTATCAGCAATGCCACTCGCTCAACTGTGATCTCAGGGGCAATCCCTTCAGCCTAGGGACCCAACAGAAGATCTTTATCTGCCCAAAACCAGCCTGTAAAGACTGGAAAAAAGTGTTTGCTCTTTCAAACACAGATACCAATGCAAGGCTACATGGATAATGAAGAATCAAGCAAACACGACATCACCAAAAGAAACTAATCAAACTCCAGTAAGTGATCCCCAAGGAAATGGAGATCTCCAAATTGCCTGAGAAAGAATTCAAAATAATCGTCTTAAAGAAGCTCAATAAGATACAAGGTAACAAAGACAACCCAATGAAATCAGGAAAACAATGCATAAACAAAATTTAAAGATTAATAATTAGAAACCATTAAAAAAAAAAAAGAACCAAAGAGGAAATCCTAGAGCTGAAGAACACAATGAAAAAACTGAAAAATTCAATAGAGAGCTTTAATAGCACATTTGATCACAGAGAAGAAAGACTCAACAAACTCAAAGATAGATTGTTTAAATTAGCCATTTAGTGACAGGGGAGATGGCTGACTAGAGACATCAGTCATCAGATAGTCCCAGAAAGAAGGAAATATTTCAGATTTAAAAAAAAAAAAAAAAAAAAAAAAAACAGCTCAGATGTAATTTCTGAGGGAAAGGTGCCAGAACCTAGAGGAGACTGGTTCCACAGGTAAAAGTTGCAGAGCAGAACAAGGAGAAACAAAATATCAGCAGAGATCAACCCTGGAGAAACTTGGAGCTTGGAAAAGGTAGGTGGGGGTTTCTTTCTCCTTCCCTCACCACTCTGGTAGTCAGCAGGCTCCTGAGCTGCCGGAGAGCTTTTCTACCCTCGTGACCCCAAAAGCTGCTGCTGCCACTGAACTGGGAGCTTCTTAAAAACAAAGCACCAGGCTGCCAGCCCCTTCCGGGTCACTCCCCATCATCACAGACTGGAGCCGAGATAGCTGGCGCCATACTGCTTCTCCACCCATAGTGTGCCTCTGTCCTCCCCAGGGAGTTCCGGTCCTGCGGTTTTCACATCACCTGTTCACATCAGCACACAAACATTTCCCAACTCCCGCCCAGACCGCTGTGGTTCCTGGGCATCTGTGTGATCTGAGAGCTTGGACAGTCCCAGTGGGCTTCCTTCCAGGAAGAAGGACAAAGAGAGCTAGAGGGCTAGCTCTCCTCCATTCAGACTCCTATCCTCCCCCACCCCTCCCCTGCCCACTGCCGCCGAGAGACTGAGCTGGGGGCTCCCCCGAGTGACTGCTTCCCCTCTGTCGGTGCATCCTCCGCATCGAGGCTCCCACAGAGAGTGGCGCCCACATTTTCCCTTTGGGGACCTGCACTGGACCTAGTGGCTCTCAGAATGCGAGCTCCCTGCCCACCAGTGCTGCGGGCCTGGCCATTCCCGCAGAGCAGGGCACGCCCCAAAGCGGAGGGGTATTAAGCCTGCTCGAGTACTCCATGGGTACTCAAGTACCATGGAGTACATGAGTACTACGACACGCTTCTCCCTGGCAAGGTCAGGGATTGAGCTTGTGAGACCAGGGACAGGCTTACTCCCAGGACTCGATCATGTTGCTTGGAGGCACAGGGGAGAGATTCGTGAGATTCGTGAGCTAAACTCAGGAGGCAGGGGAGCCCACGTGGGGAGGGCCGAAAGGAGAGCGCAGTGAGGTCTGAGCCACAGCGGACATGTGGATCCCCATCCCCCTTCCCTACAGGAGAGCTGTGCTTTCAGACTGGCGCAGGACCTCAGGCAGGGAAGTTCCCAACCTCTGGCGCCACTGCCGACAAGCTTCTGTTTGCAACCAGACGCCAGAAGGAGACTTGCGGGGCAGGGGAGGAAGGAGAAGAGTGAAGCCCACTCCCGACAGAGAGTCTGTGAATCCCAGATGGCCCCTACCCCATGAGCAGACTTTCTGGTTTGGTGAGGCCACTTCAACCCCTCCATGGTGGCTTTCTCCAGGGGCTTTTCCCTGGTGGTTCTCCCCAGTGGCCTGGGAGCCGACCCTTAACCCCTGCACCAAGACCGCTCTTGTGCCTGTCTTTGCAGAGCCTAAAGGCGGACTTGCCGGACCAGCCCCGCCCAGCCTCTCTCCTCCAACTGCCTCTGCTGTGGAGAATAAGGAGCCCTCTGGGTGCTCTGGGGCCCCTCCCAGCACCTGGGGCATCTGAGGGCTTCTCCTGGGGGACTTGAGCCAGCCATAGGCCCCGAAGAACAACACTGCATCGGCTCTTTTCTGCAAGCACCATCTACTGCCGGGGAGAACGTGTACAGCCCATCACGGCATCTACCGACTTGGTCAAGCAGGGCATGGCTGATTCTTACCCACAGGCACCACCTACCATCTCAGAGGTTAAACTGGGCGCCCCAGTATAATCCACACCGCTGCGGGGAGGGGAAGACAGCAAGACACAGCCCAAGGGCCTGCCACTCTCTAGAAGAGGATCAAAAGTTCCCGGCGGCCCGAGCTGTGAGGGGTCTCCCTCCACCACCGCAGGCCCCTGGACTGGTCCGGGGAGCTGCTCAGAGTCTGTGCGGACACGTTGCCCTGCAGAGCAGGCGCGGCAGGGGTTTGGACGCCGCCAATCCCGGGTTTCCGCGGCTGATGCCATCCTGAGCTCTCAGGTCTGCTTGTGGCTCGTCTTTGCAGCAGCAGCTGTCGCATCAAACCAGCCAGGCCAGGGAGGGGGCAGGCAGGATGGGTGCTCACCTGTGCCACGCCCTGTGACTGGGAGCCCGGTGCCCCTCCCCCCACAGCATGGGCTCTGAACAGAGGAGGAGCCTCAGGCGTGACAGCCACCATCTGGGAAGCCTTGGTGACTGCCTCAGTGGGACCTAGGCAGGGGGGAGGATCCCGGCCAGCTAGCAGCCCTGGGCTGCCTCTGCGGTCCCTAGGCTGCTGGAACAATCCCAGCATGCAACCGGGCATCCCCAGCCCAGTGGAACAGCCCCCCACCTACGCAGCTCTGCCCCCGGGATCCCCAGATCCAGCCCTGAGGCTCCACCCCTGTAACTCCAGAGCTCCTGCTGGGCCTGCAAGACTGTCCCCAAGACCCCAGCATCGTGCCTGGGCCCCAAGATCCCACCCCTGCATTTCCAGCACTGCCACGGGGCTCGCAGAACCACTGAGGTCCAGTGCCCCAACAGGGACCCTCACCCAGCGTCAAGCTGCCATTACACCTGGGCCTGGCTCTAGGAAACGCCCACAGCCAAGTCACCCATGACCCCTGCCTATGTCGCCTCACCCAGCTGCCACTGTAGCCGCTGCTGGGAGACCCCAGGTAGAGCAACCCCCACAGTGCCAGCTTCCTTGGAGAGAGTCTCACGCAGCCCCCAGCTCAAACTTCCAACGATGAGCTGGGCAACAACCCACCTGGGAGGAGGTCTCAGCCGGGCGGGGCTGGGCCACGGCCGAGCACGCCGGGAAGACCGCACAGGGCCTCTCCTGCGCGCTGCCCACAAAGACGGATTTCAGGTGCAGTACGGACTGAACGGTGAAAAGCAACACCCCCCCAAAATAGAGAAGACCCTGGAGGGGGAGCCGCTTTCCCAAAGAGACGAAGCCATGAGCGGTGGCCAATGACAGTGACGCAGCCAGCCCCGAAGCTGCGCAGAACGACGCCGGTGAGGCGAGACCAGGCCACGGAACTGCAAGAAGCTCCCGCTGGCGACAAAAAGGGCAGTTCAGCTCGATAGAAAAGCGGCAACAGTCACACGCACGCCCACGCATGAGCCGCAGACACGGAACTCCAAACGCCCGACACTGTAAACGCACGGAAAACGCTCGACTTCGCTTGCCAGCAAGGAAACGAGAAAGGAAACTTTGCAGAGAGCCGTGCGGCGTCAAACCCCAAAACGGAACGTTTTTCTGCAGATCGCGTGGGGAGGGACCAAGGAACCGCAAAGTCACCAAACAGGACGAAGCTGGCGGTTCGGCAGCCCCTCCTCCAGTGCCTGGAGCGTGAGGGAGGGCACGCCGTGTGCCCCGTCCCCGAGTGGTGGTGCCCCAGGGCCTCCTTTGATTATTGTCATCTTTGTCGTTTCATTTTATTTTTTTAAATTGCAACGTTGCACCTGCGTAGGGCTTGTAGCTTGTACGGCGGTGGGCGGCTTCATTGGAAAAAGGATGCAAACCGCTAACGGGATTCAGCACAGAGGCCGGGCCTGTGCCTCAGTCTCCCAACTTCACAGCCCGTCAAAGGAAGACCAGGGCGGGGGCGGCGGGTGGGAGGGAGGCCAGTGCCCCCGCCCCAGGCTTCACCCATGCAGTGTCCAGGGAAGAAAACCCGCGGCTCCTGACCCTTGGCTACATTATCTGCGTTCTTCCTGGGACCACGGGACACACCCCGGCCACCCCTCACCGCTGCGACTCTCCAGAGAACACAGGAGCTCCCCGGCTTCCGGGCAGAACTCTGCCTCCCCGAAATTCCAAGCTCCGGGCAGAACCCTGCCTCCCCGAAATTCCAAGCCCTTTATCTCCGTCACAGCCTGCCGGCATTCCTGAGCCACCCCCCTGCTTCCCGAGCCTCTGCCCAGCCTTCTGTGCCCACCAGACCCTACGCCTGCTCCAGCCCAGCTGCCAGCCTGTCCCCCAAGGCCCCCCTGGTGGCACCGCACACCCCCCCCGGGTGCCCACTCTCGAGGGGCCAGGTACAGCGGGGCCGGGAGGGGTGGGCACCTCCCTGCTCACCCTCTGGCCTCCAACCCTCCATCTCCCAGGTCCTGGCCCTCGCGCCGGCCCACCCTCCGCACCCTGGCACGGGGGCCCCCACACGCAGCCCTGGGCTCCACACCCAGCGTCCACAGCCGGCCTGACCTCGCCCTCTGGCCCTTCCACCCGCCTCACGCCCGTTTGCTCCCTGGCCCGCTTCCCTTCCTAGCCTCATCTGGACTCCGCAGCCCCGGGGCCACCACGCGCTCTCTGACAGCGTCTGGGTCACCGGCGTCACCGGCATCTCCCTGCTGCCCTCTTCCCTCTGCGCTTCAACCACCCCCAGGGCCGGGCCAGCACCTCTCGCCTCTCACCCAGATGGAGGGGGGAGGGGCCGGGGTGGCCTGCGTGGGGGGGATGGGGGTGGAGTCCAGCCTGACAGAGGACCTGGGGGTCCAGGTGGGTGGCGGGGGGGGGGGAAAGGGAGGACTGCAGGGAGGGTCCCAGGGCCGGGTGGGTGGGGGGCCGTCCTGGCACATGCAGAGCCAGAGGAAGGGGTGGCCTCAGGCCCACCCTCGGCAAACCGACACCTTAACAGCCGCTGGCCGCACTGCAGAAGCTCCCCCGACCCCACGATGAGACCCCAGGGGCTGGAGGCTGCCCAGGGTCTGGGCCGGTGGGGGTTGGGGGGACGCCAGGGAAGCTGCAGGGGGGCCTGGGGCCTCCTTGGACCCCCCGGGCGCCCCACCCTGCTACAGAGAGCAGCAGACGACGGGGCTGCGTACAGACAGTGGGGCCAGGGACGCCGGGCCCACAGGGCGCTGGCCGAGGAACAAGACGGCAGGATGCCACCTCCCTGCGAGGGTGGGACTGAAGCCGGCCCAGGGCTCGTGGCAGGCTGGGCGGGTGCTGGTGTCCTGTCTGCCCTCCCTCACCTGGAGGCAGCGTGGGCTCTGGGTCCGGAAGAGTCCCTCCTCCCTCCACCTGGCCCCGTGCCGGCCCCAACCCCGCCCAGCCCGGACTGCTGAGTGACCACCCCAGCCAGCACCCACGGGCCGCCCATCCCACGAGTTCACCTTCACAGAGAGCCACGGGGGCTGCCACCCGTGGCCACCAGGGCTGCTGTGAGCTAGGGGGGACGGTCTGGCCTCGGGGCTTGCAGAGCAGAGGCAGGCAGTTCTCAGCACCGCCGGGCCCAGGGAGGCTGCAGGGAGGCACTGGCCTCCTGGGGGGCCGGGCGGGCACGCAGGGAGGCCCCCTGTGCTCTGCACACCACGGCAGTGCTGGGCTCCAAACCGCTCCGGGGACCGACGACGTGGTCCGTGGCGGGCAACCTGACCCGGGCCCCTGCTGCTTTGGGCCATCTCCGAGGTCCAGGCCCAGCTGCCCACGCCACTGGGAGGTTCTCGGTCTCTCTGCTCGGGACGGAGTCTCCAAGACGGGGAGGGCCACAAGGGCCGGGAGAACGGCCCCAAGGACCCCGCCGCCGTGGGCCGTGCCAGCCACTGCGCGGTGGCGCGTCTAGCAAGGGGCCTGGCACAGATCCGGGAAGGGAGCAGGGGCTCCGTGAGTGGGTCTTCCCTGCCCCGCCCCCCGCCCAGACACTGCAGTGACCACGCCGGCCAGGACGGCGCCAGAGTGTGGCCTGCCTGAGCCACGGGGGGTTGGCGTGGTCAGTGGGGGGGGGGTGCTTCAGCACATACGTGAAAACTCGTGACAGTGCAGCACGGACCGGACGGGCAGGTCAGCGGTGCAAGATGAAGTCCAGGGAGGAGTTAAAGATCGAAACGACGAAAGGTAACCGGCAGAACGACCAGATGGAAGTTCAAGTGCAACGGTCCACGGACAGGAATGCTTCTCTCTCGAAAGCATCCCCACCGCCAGCCGCCCCGCCGCGCCCACCAGCCGGCCCGAGAGGGGTGGACAGCCTCGAAGACCTAAAGGAAGGGGCCGGGCGCATCTGCCGAGACCACCGCACCCGCCCACCGCACCCCCTCGGCAGCGGGGCCTGGGACCGGGACACAGCCACAGCCGTGCTGCTGCCAGCCACGGTGAGCTGGTCCTCACCACGTGTGCAGAAAACGTGACATTCTCGGTCCTGGTGTGGCACCAACCAGGCAAGGCCACCACCTGAGTCACCCCCAGTCACCCCCTCGCAGGGCACGGAGCTCCTCCTCCCCTGCACCCGGCGCTGCTCTGGCAGCCGAAGGTTCCGCCCCGAACAGAACAGGATTTCTGCCTGCTGGGGTCGCCATGCAGGGGCCACCGACGGGGAACGTCAGGTCAAATGTCACGACCGTGGGGGGAGGGGGGCTCTCGGGAAAGGGGGTCCCTTCCATGCTGGAGTCTGCAGCCCTCCTCCCCCAGCGTCCTGCCTTCCCGGGGAACCCCCACATCTCTTCCAGCATGTGGCACCTGTGGCACCCATGGGTGACACGGCCCCGGTGTCGTGATGCCCCAGCCCGGCCCCTGAACCGTGCATCCCTATCTCCATGGAACCTGCTAGAACGGGGGCTCCCCCAGCGCAGGGACCCGTTACCTTGTCCTCTGGGGGTTCTCGCCCCACCCACCCCCCAGGTATGTCAAAGGACACGAGGTCTCTTTGGGGGTGTTGGCCCAGAGGAGGAAACCACATGGCAGCCACTGGAGCCCCGCGGGTATTGGGGGGGGGGGTTCCAGGCGGAGGCAGCCACCCCCCGATCACATGACCACAGTGTGGGACCAGTGAGTGGGAAACCCAAGGCTCTGAGCTGCCAGCTGCCTCCCAGTTAAATGCAGCAAAACAATCACAAAGTCCCGGCGAGTCACTTTTGAACCTGACAAACTGTGCGATCCGTCTGGAAGAACCAGGCTCGTGATGACCGCCTGGGCCCGTCTGGGCAGTAAGAGGAGGAGGGCGGGTTGTCACGGTGGGTGTGACTACGCATGGCAGGCCAGGGTGGCAGGGCACGGTGACAGCCACCACCATGCCCAGGAAAGAGAAGCGGGTCACCTGTCACCACCGGTCACCGTGGAAAGACCTGGCCGGGGGCTGTCATGCCTCACGTGGAAACTGATCATGAAAACCGTAACTGAGCCGGTCACAAAGTTACGGCGAAGCCACAGTGTAGCAAAGCAGCTGCGAGAAGCCGGGCAAAGACGCTCCTTGCTCCACAACCGACCAGACCAGGACGTCACCCCACACCCAGCAGCCAGACCCCGAGGGGCGGGAGGGGACGGAAATGACAATGAGATGAAAACTCCGGTGCGGTGGCGTTCACCCTGCAAGAAAGCTCCTCCCACGTTGGGCGGAAGGGGACGAGTTGGGGACATTCCTACATGTCAGGAGGACCGGACAGCTCCGAGACCCGGGGCACGAAGAAAACAGACGTCGCAGGGACGGGTGGAGCAGACGTCCAGGCCCAGTCGGAAACGCAAGGGGCCACGGAGGCGCCCCCAGTTCTAGACCCCGGGGGGCTTCCCGGAGAACGTTCTAGAACGTGAACCTCAAGGTGCACCTTCTTGACATTTCACCGAGGGGAAACACAGGCCGAGGGTACAGATGTGCGGCGTGCACGCTCAGCGTCGTTTAAAGGGTGACAGCGAGACAGCGATGTCGCCACCGATGGCATGGTGCAGGTGAGCACCAGGTGATGAGGGAGGGGCGACGGACCCACGCAGGCGCCGGAAGGACAGCCCGTGGGCCGCAGGCGTGACCACGCCGCCTTAACCGAGACAGAACGGCGGGCGCGCGCAGGGGGGCGCCCAAAGTAACGCGTTCCCCAAGGCGCTCAGGATGCTGCTCCTTGGACAGCGAGATTAAGGTTTCACCGTCCTCATCCATCCTGTCACTGTCTTCTCTTTCCAATAAGCGAATATCGTGCACATCACCAGAACGGAAAATAATAAAGTTATTTCGATTTGGGGACAATTACGCCGCGGAAAAGTGTTTCCCAGCACCCCACAGAAGGCCGCACTTATAGCAGGTGGCGGCCGGCCGCTCCCCCGTTCAGACGCCTGCGCGCCGCTGCCGCCTGGCTGCCTGCCAAGCCACGCAGGCGGGGCCGGAAGGACACGCGGGGTTGGCCGTGGCGAGTCCTGGGTGCCGGGATCATTCGTGTTTTCTTTTTTTTTTGGCTTTGCACATATTCTCTGGCTTTTATAGAATCATGTGTGGCAGCACCAAAGCAGCCCCCTGAGCGGCCCTTTCCCTTCTAGCAGCTCACGTACTCACGCCCTCCCGGGGCCACCGCGGCCTGAGACCGGCCGACATGGGGTACCGAGGCCCGGCCCCGGACTCTGCTGGGAGCCCCATAAAGCCACGCAGTGGGGGTGGGGTCGGTTCTCCCCCTGCCCGGGCGCCTTCCTCACCCTTCTGGGCGGCTTTGCCGGGGGCACCCCGCAAACCCCCGCGTAGGGAGCCCGTCTTTGGCAAGAGACCAAGGAAATCAGGTAAAACGGTCGCCACCGGCAGAGATGCGCCAGATGGGGCCTCCCCCGCCTGTCACCACGCCCCCTCCCAGGTGCGTCCCCAGCCACCCTGCCGTGGGCGGCATAGCCCCATCCTCCTCCTCCTCCTCTGAGGACAGGGCGTCTCCAACCCGGGGCTCCCCGAGGGGCCGCCGTCCTCCTTCCTCCCGCCCTCGCTGGGCATCTCGCTGCAGACCCGCCCTGGCCCCATCCCGGGGGGTGTCTACGCACCCGCGTCCCCAGAACACGCGGCCCACGCACACGCTCCATGCACCCTGCTCACGCACCCTGCTCACGCATGGGCACGAAGAGCAGCAGGAGCCGGCGGGCAGGGACAGGGCCGGCCCCCACGGGCTCCGGGAAGGTCACAAGCCCCAGCGCCTGTCCTGCCCCCCGCGCGCCCGCCCAGAAGAAGGGCAGAGGCAGGCTCGGCCCTCGCGGACACGAGACGGCCCCGGAGCCCCAGGCGTTGCCCGGCTGCGGCAGACCAGGGTGCAGACCGCCGCTGTGATAAACACATGCCCCATGGGGCGGATTTATTACGAGGTCGGGGTGGGAAGACGCCCCCGCTGGGCCGGAAGGTCCCACAGGGTGGCGCCCGGGGGTGGCCCTGGCTGGGCAGGGAGGGTCTGCACGGCCTGGCCCCTGCCCTGCCTCGGGCTTCCAGCTGTTCCTTCACTGGGACGTTTCTCCCTGCAGGGACATCTCCTCCAGGGGGAACCCTGGACAAGGAACAGGCGTGGGAGGCAGGTGAGGCGCCTGGGCCGGCCGGCCTGGGGGCCCTCGCGGGGAGGCGGAGGTCTCTGAGCCGTGCAGCCCTGCGCCAAGCTCAGCCCGCGGCTCCACCCTCGGACCACGCCTACGCTCTGCACGGCGCAGGGGGCCGCCAGTCCCGCCAGGTGCCACGCCGGGGGGCTGCGACCACACCCTGGGGTGCACCCCACCGCAGGCGCCTGTTACTAAACGCCCCGTTTGTAGAGGAGGAAAGAGGGGCAAGCGGCGAATGGCTTCAGGGGCGCAGGCCCAAGCCCAGGGGTCAGCCCGGCCCCGCCCCCACCCCACCAGGCCAGGCCTGGGACAGCGGCCGAGGCCGGACACCGAGCACACACAGCCCGACAACGCCCGCCCCCGGCCGCGCCAGGGCCTGGTGCCGGGCCACGGCCCCGCGCCCTCAGCTCCTCCTTGGTCCCGCCGAGGAGGACGGGCAGGGGCTGGTTCTAGAAGCAGATGCCTGTTGACACCCACGCTGGGAGAGACATGAGAGGGCGGGCTGGGAGGAACCTTCCGGAAGCAGCCCCGTGGCCAAGTGCGCTGCGGTCCGGGGGCGCTGGTGTCCGGCGGAGCCCCTGGGTGTCCACGTCCCAGCTCCGGGGCGTGGCCAAGCGTGGCATCACCCCTGCACACGGAGGGCCGGGCCGGCTCCCTGGCCTCCAGCCGCCCCTCCCCGCCCTTCCCGGCCAGGAATTCCGGAAAAGCCTCTGGATTCTGCAGAGACTTCGAGGAGTGACGGCCGCTCTCGGCGGCCACCCCACGGCCTCGCCTCTGTCCCCGGGGTGGCGGCCCTCGCCCGCCCGGCCCGGCCCGCGCCCGCACGCACCCATGGCCATCAGGTCTCCGCAGTCCTTCTTGTGGAACTCGACCCAGGCCCGGGTCTTGCAGATCTTGCTGCAGGTGAGCATGCTGTAGCAGCGGGCGCAGGGCGACAGGCGCACCCCGATGGAGCGGCCGCACTGGTAGCAGAACTTGAAGAAAGGGATGCTGCAACGGGGCTCGGGTCAGCTGGCGGGCCGGCGGGCCTCCAGGGGACCCGCCTCCCACCGCCGCCGCCCGCCAAGGAACCCCAGCCACCACCTGTGCAGGCCCCAGGCTCCTGGGACGTTCCCCGCCAGCCCCAACCCCACCATCCCCACGCAGGGCGGCTGTCGGGAGGGGACCAGTGCCTGCAAGCCCTCGTCCTGAGGATGTCCAGCGTGGCATTGTTTAGAACGGGAGACAGGCGCTCCGAGCCCCGAAAGCCACCCAGGTGCCCCCCGCCCCCGTTGTGGCCTGGTTTAGCAAACGCCACATCGGAGAGACCACGGCGTTGCCACGGACACAAGGCTGGGGGCTCAGCGGGCAACAGCACTCGGAGGACCGCGCGGAGCCTGCGTGTGGGGTAGCCGGGAAGCACCGGCCCCCCTGCCTCCGTCCCCAGCTCAGGAGGAAAGCGAGGCTCCCGCCCCACCCCAGGCTCCCTCCCGGCCGCTCTGGGTTTGCAGGGTGGGGACGGCCCCTGTCCCCTCACCCCGGGGCGCACGGGCAGGTAAGAGGCTGTCCTGGAACAGCAGGGGGGGCCCGGAGTCAGACTCCCGGGGAGAGGCCAGCAGTGGAGGGCGAGGGAGGGCCAGGCGCAGCCCCACCGGCCAGCAGGCCTCGCGACCGGCGGGGGCGTCTTGGAGAAGCAGAGTCTGGGCTCAAAGCGCCACCGGCCGCTGTCACGGGGAGGGGGGCTGGATGCAGGCCGCCGGTGACCGCCGGGGCAGGGCTGCCTGGACAAGGCCAGGCCAGCCCAGGGGCCAGACTCAGCGGAGGCCGTGCCGGGAGGGCTGGCGCAGCCGGGCGGGGCCCTGCAGCGAGTCCAGACCCGCGGGCACACTTACCGCTCCTGCTCCGGCTCAACCTGGTCCTTGGGCCGGGCCGGGGCTCTTCTTCCTCACGTTGTGTCTGGGCATCAGCTCCCCTGCGGCGGAGAGAGACGTGTGTGAGTGCTCGGGGACGGTCACCGCCTGGGCCCCCAGGTCACGCCCACCTGTCACAGGGCCCACCTGTCACAGGGCTCGGGCCTGGAGGGAGGGGCACCCGGCAGAACCAAGGGGGGCTTCGCTCCTCGGCTCCCCTCTGCTCCCCGGCCTGTGCCCACCGTCCGCAGCCCCGGCGCCTGTCCTGCCCGCCCACCCCGCGCCAGGGCCCCCTTTCCACCCGGCGCCACCAGGTGCCTCCTGGCCTCGCCCAGCCCACAGCCCTCTCCGGGGGGAGACACCGGCTCTGGTCTCCTGTGGGGTGAGCGGGGACCCCACGGTCACTGCCCAGAGCCCCGTCAACGCCCCGCCCCGTGCCTTCCCTTCATCTCCACGCCAGTCCCCCCAGAAAGGCCACCTCACCTTGCTCCCCGGGCACCCTCCCTGCCTGCCCACCACGCCCAGCTGCACCCCACTGCCGTGGTGGGGGAAGGGGGACGTGGACCGGGGGGCCCCTCTGTGACTGTGAGCCCGCTAGGGCAGCAGGGAGATGCTATGGGGACAGGTGACACCATGGCAGGACTCAAGGGGAGGCCGTGAGCCTGTCGGCGCCACCAAGTGCCTCTTTAAAACCCAGACGCGCCAGGAGGACAAAGGGGGTTTCCGTTTGCATCTGCCGAGTGTGGGACTCTTTCCGGGAGCCCCGTCCCACTGCGGGGACGTTCCACCGCGGTCACCTGTCACCCGCCGGCGACACTCTCGCCGTTTCCCACTCCCCGCTGTCACGGGGCATGCCGCCATACACGCCTCTGTGTGGACACCTTTGTCCCCGAGGTGGCGTAAGGGACAAAGTCCCCACTCCCCTCCTGAGGGTAGCACAGCTGCAAACCAGCACGACTCAGCAACCGTAGAGAGACGCGGGACCGGACCTCGCTCCCGTGCAGGCTCTGTAACTGTCAGCCTCCGTGTCATCGGAAAGCCACCGGGCTCAGACCCCACGCTGCTCAGAATTTGGAGGCGAGGCCCCCCTGGGCCCGCCGGGGCAGCAAAAGCCCGTCTTGCAGTTCTCCCGCGCGGCTCTCGTGTGTCCCCCGCCAGGTTCGAGGTGACGGTGGCTGTCAGGTGGGGGCTTTAACGTTTGGAGGCGCCTACAGACGGGTCCCCACGATGCCGGCCGCCTTACGTGCGCACCAAGGGCCGGGGCAAGGGCGCCGGCTCGTGCGCACCAAGGGCCGGGGCAAGGGCGCCGGCTCCTCCGCGTCCTGGGCACGCTCTTCGCATCTGGCGCCCTGGGTGCGGCCGGCCCGCAGGCGCCAGGCAGCGTCTCAGGCGGTCCAACTGCAGGCCCGAGGGCGGGGATGCCAGACGCCCGGCAGGTGCTCGGCAGGTGGGCGTTAGTGTGTCTTCTCTGGACACGTTTCTGTCCGTGTCTAAATCCGGTCACTTCTCTGTCACTGAGGCGTGAGCGTCCTCTGCGCGTCCCCCAGGCAGCCCCGTGGGACGCGTGCGACCCGCAGCAGCCTCCTCCGGTTCGGTGGCTGTCTCTTCGCCGCCTTGACGGTGTCCTTGGCAGTACAGAGTCTTTGCTGCAGACAGCACCCAGTCACCCTGCTCTCCTTCCGTCGCTCATGCCTTGGGGTCCTGTCTAGGGATCCACTTCCAGACCCAGGGTCGTGAGTGCTGACGCCTGCGTCTTCTTCTGGGAGAGTCAGCTTCAGCTCTGACACTCGGGTCTCCGTGGGTGTGCCGTGCGCATGTGGGGTGAGGTGAGCAGGAGGGAAGGGGGGCTGGGGGTGCTGTGTGCAGGGGAGAGGGGTGGGATCCGCCGCGCAGTGGTCCGCCGCTTTCCCCATGCCCCTCCCAGGTGCGGCCAGCACCCTGGGTGGGCGGCAGTAGCCCCATCTCTCCTCTTCCTCCTCTTGGAGGACCAGGGCGTCTCCGGCCCGGGTCCCCGAGGGGGCCGTCCTCCTTCCTTCCCGCCCTCACTGTCTCGTGCGACCCGGCTCTGGCCCCCTCCCGGGGTGTCACGCACCCGCGTTCCCCAGAACACGGCGCCCACGCACACGCCTCATGGCACCCGCTCGACCCTGCTTCACGCGGCATGCACGAAGGAGCAGCAGGAGCCGGGCGGCGCGGGGACAGGGCCGGCCCCCACGGGCTCGGGAAGGTAACAAGCCCCAGCCGGCCTGTCCTGCCCCCGCGCGCCCCGCCCAGAAGAAGGGCATAGTGCAGGCTCGCCCTCGGGGACACGAGGACGGCCCCGGAGCCCAGGCGTTGCCGTCTGCGGCAGACCAGGGTGCAGACCGCGCTCTGTGATAAACACATGCCCCCACTGGGCGGATTTATTAACGAGGGTCGGGGGTGGAAGACGCCCCGCTGGGCCGAAGTCCCAACAGGGTGGCGCCGGGGGGTGGCCCTGGGTGGGCAGGAGGCGTCTGCACGCCTTGCCCTGCCCTGCCTCGGCTCCAGCTGTGTCTTCACTGGACGTTTCTCCGCTGCAGGCGACATCTCTCCAGGGGCAACCCTGGACAAGGAACAGCGGGGGAGGCATGTGAGGCGGCCTGGGCCGGCGGCTGGGGGGTCCTCGCCTGGGAGGCGGATCTCTGAGCCGGTGCAGCCTGCGCCAAGCTCAGCCCGCGGCTCCACCCTTGGGACCGCCGGGCCTACGCTTGGCACGGCGCAGAGAGCCCGCCAGTCCCGCCAGGGTGCCACGCCGGGGGCTGCGACCACACCCTGGGGTGCACCCCACCGCAGGCGCCTGTTCTAAACGCCGCCGTTTGTAGGAGGAGGGGAAAGGGAGGCGGGCGGACGGCGAATGGCTCAGGGGCAGGCCCAAGCCCAGGGGTCAGCCCGGCTCCGGCCCCCCACCCCACCAGGCCGGGCCTGGACAGCGGGCCGAGCGGAACCGAGCCAACACAGCGCCACACCGCCAGCCCCGCGCGCCAGGGCCTGGTGCGGGCCACGCCGCGCCCTCAGCTTCCTCCTTGGTCCGCCGGAGGAGACGGGCAGGGCTGTTTCTGAGCAGACGCTCTGTTGACACCCACGCTGGGAGAGACATGGAGAGGGGCGGGCTGGGAGGAACCTTCCGGAAGCAGCCCCGTTGGCCCCAAGTGCGCTGCGGTCGGGGGCGCTGGTGTCGGGCGGAGCCCCTGGGTTCCAGGTCCCACTGCGGGCGTGGCCAAGCTGGCATCACCCTGCACACGGAGGGCCGGCCAGTCCCTGGCTCCTCAGCCGCCCTCCCGCCCTTCCCGGCCAGGAATTCCGAAACAGCTCTGGATTCTGCACGGAACTTCGAGGAGTGACGCCGCTCCTGGGCCACCGCACGGCCTCGGGCCTCGGTCCCCGGCGGGTGGCGGCCCCGGCCCGCCCGGCCCGGGCCGCGCCGGCACGCACCCATTGGCCATCAGGCGTCTCGCAGTCCTTCTTGTGGAACTGCCAGGCCCCGGGTTCTTGCAGATCTTGCCCTGCAGGTGCAGCATGCTGTAGCACGCGGGCGGGCAGGGGCGACAGGCGCACCCGATGCGAGGGGGCCGCCACTGGTAGCAAGAACTTGAAGAAAGGGGATGCTGGCAACGGGGCTTCGCGGGCACGGGCGGCGGCGGCCTGCCAGGGACCCACCTCCCACGCCCGCGCCCGCCAAGACCCGCACCACCTGGCGGCCCCAGGGCTGCCTGGACGTGTCCGCCCGCAGCCGCCAAACCGCCACGATCCCCGCGCAGGCGCGCGCTGTCGGAGGCTGGACAGGGTGCCCGCACGCCCTTCCGTCCTGGGAGATGCTCCAGCGCGGGTCTGGGTTAGAACGCGGAGACAGTGCGCTGCGCAGCCCCGAAAGCCACCAGGGTGCCCCGCCCCCGGTAAGGGCCTGGTTTAGCAAACGCCCACATCGGGAGAGACCACGGCGTTGCACGACACGGCAGGCTGGGGCTCAGCGGCAACAGCAGTCGGAGGACCTTCGCGGAGCCTGCGTGTGGGTAGCCGGGAAGCACCGGCCCCCGCCTCCGTCCCCAGGCTCAGGGAGGCAGAGAGCCCGCCGCCCCAGGCTCCCTCCGGGCGCGCTCTGGGTTTTCAGGGTGGGGACGGCCCTGTCCTCACCCCGCGGCGCGCACGGGCAGGTAGAGGCCTGCTCCTGGCGAACATCAGGGGGGGCCCGGAGTCAGACCCCCGAGAGGCCAGCAGGAGGCGAGGAGGGCCAGGCGAGGCCCCACTGGCCAGCAGCGCGCACCGGCGGGGACGTCTTGGAGAAGCAGGAGTCTGGGGCTTCAAAGCGCCACGGCCGCTGTCAGCGGGGAGGGGGTTCTGGATGGCACGGCCGCCGGTGACCGCGGGGAGGCTGCCTGCGACTGTAAGCCAGGCCGCCGGGGCCAGACGCGCGGAGCCGGGCGGAGCTGGCCAGGCCGGGGCGGGGCCCTGAGCGAGTCCAGACCGGCGCGGCAACTTTACCGACTCTGTCCGGCTCACACCTGGTCCGGTTGGCGCGGCCGGGGCTTCTTCTTCCTCACGTTTGTGTCTGGGCATCACTCCCCTGCGGCGGAGGGAGAGACGTGTGTGAGGTGCTCGGGGACGGGCACCGCCTGGGCCAGTTCACGCCCACCTGTCACAGGGCCCACCTTGCACAGGGCTCAGCGCCTGGGAGGGGAGGGGGGCAAGCCGGGCTAGAACCAAGGGCTGTCGCTCCTCGGCTCCCCTCTGCTCCCGGCGTGTGGCCACGTCCGCCGCCCCCGGTTGGCCCTGCTCCTGCCCGGCCACCCCGCCAGGGCCCCTTTCCACCCGGCGCCACCAGGGTCCCTTCCTGGCTCGCAGCCCACAGCCCTCTCCGGGGGGGAGAACCGGCTCTGGGTCTCCCGGTGGGGTGAGCGGGGACCCCACGGTTCACTGCCCAAGCCCCGTCACGCCCGCCCTGGCCTCCCCTTCATCTCCACGTCAGTCCCCCCAGAAAGGCCACCTCACCTTGCTCCCCGGGCACCCTCCCTGCCTGCCCCACCACGCAGCTGCACCCCACTTC